AATGCGGACCATAGAAAGATCAGAGAGCTAGCGAGTACAGTAAATGTAGGATCGCATGGTGAACTATGCGACCCACCTTTCACGAGGGAAGAAATGATATGGTCCGCATCAAGTTTCAACCCCAAGAAGGCTCCTGGAATAGATGGACTAACAGCAGATATTTGTAATTCTGCCGTCACTCTGAACACCGATTTGTTCCTGGCTTTGGCGAATAAGTGCCTCGAATTGGCATGCTTTCCAAAGCTTTGGAAGGAAGCCGTGGTGGTTGCGTTACCAAAGCCAGGAAAGGAGAACTACACGCATCCCAAGTCCTATAGACCAATTGGCCTACTGCCAGTTCTAGGCAAGATACTTGAAAAAATGCTGATCAGAAGGATTAGATGGTACACCACGCCGACCATCAGCCACAAGCAATACGGCTTTCTACCCCAACGTAGTACCGAGGACTCCCTCTATGACATGATGCAGTACATTAGAAATGAGTTGAAGCTCAAAAAACTGATCGTGCTAGTATCATTGGACATAGAGGGAGTCTTTGACAATGCTTGGTGGCCGGCGATACGCTGCAGACTGGCGGAGACCGAGTACCCAGCGAATCTGAGGCGACTGATAGATAGCTATCTTGAGGATATAACAGTACGCGTCAGGTTTGCTGGAGCGGAATGGTCGAAAAACACGACAAAGGGGTGCGTGCAGTGCTCAATCGGCGGTCCCACCCTATGGAACATAGTATTGGATCCGTTGTTGAAAGAAGTGGGGTTGAAGGGGGAGCACTATCAGGCGTTTGCGGACGATGTGGTCCTCATTGTCTCCGGAGACACTGCGCTGAAGGTAGAGAGACGAACAAATGCTGTCCTCGGGCATGTTTGGAGCTGGGGAGTCAAAAACAAACTACGTTTCGCGCCACATAAAGCCAAGGCCATACTATTTACAAATAAACTAAAGTACGACTCACCAGCTCTAACCATGGGCGGGGAGGCAATAGAATACTCCCGAGCAATTAAAATACTTGGTCTGACCATTGACCGAAAATTAACGTTTAATGGGCACATAAAAAGTGTATGTAGGAAGGCCCAGATAATTTATGGTCAACTCTCGAGAGCCGCAAAAATCAACTGGGATCTGAATTCGGAGATAGTGAGGACCATATACTTGGCGGTGGTAGAGCCGATAATTCTTTATGCAGCGAGCGTTTGGCACCGGCGACCAGAAAGGTGAAAACGAGGAAATTATTAACCTCGGTGCAACGCGGCTTCGTGCAGAAGATAGTCAAATCTTATAGAATTGTTTCACTGAACTCGGCCCTCCTCCCGCCTGGGCTGCTTCCCCTGGATTTGAGAATCCGAGAGGTGGCACTCATATATGAGATCATAAAAGGATATTCGAGGGAGGTATTAGGTGACAGGGATCTGGAGGGAATGGAAGCATATACAGAATTGCCGCATCCCGCGGACCAGGTGGGGCCGAAGTTCATATGTCTGGACGACGGTGCACAAGTGGATCAATCAAATAACGCCGAGCTCACCATCTTTACTGATGGGAGCAAAATTGAGGGGAAAGTGGGTGCGGCGTTGTCCATCTGGGATAGCGCGGCCGAAACGAGTACCAAAAAATTCAAACTAGATTACTTTTGCACCGTTTACCAGGCGGAGCTGTTGGCCCTGCTTGAGGCCATCCAATTTGCACTTCAATCTTCTGCACGAAGTTGCAACATATACAGCGACTCCAGATCAGCCCTGGAGACGATCACTCGGGGTGATTCCCTTCGCCCCTTGGCGATGAGGACAAGGGAAAATATAAACAGGATTAAAGACCTTGGAAAATCACTTGCTCTGCACTGGGTCAAAGCACATGCGGGGGTGGAGGGAAATGAAAGGGCTGACATATTGGCAACAGAAGTCGCTTTGAGGACCAAAACCAAAGCATTTTACGACAAATGTCCAATTTCATTCGTCAAGCGACAAATTAGGATGAACGCTTGACGAGTGGAATAGGAGATATAGAGAAGAGAATACGGCTGCCACTACCAAGATTTTTTTTCCGGACGCTCTCAGTGCTTACCCCATTCTTAGGAAAATCGAACTGAACCCACTGTTGACGCAGGTGCTAACAGGACATGGCGGGTTCTCCGAGTATCTGTACCGTTTCAAATGCAAGGAGAGCCCCTCATGTACCTGTGATAGAGAACAGGTAGAAACGGTAATACACCTCATTACGAAAGAAATTATAGAGCAAGAAAAGAAATAGAATTAAAATTTAAAATAAAAATAAATATAGAGGAAATACACATAATAATGAAAGACAAAGACATTATATACGTGATAGAGCCATGCTGCAACTATATCGGTAGTATAGTTGTAGCACGAATGGGTCGGCTCGACCGGGGAAGAACCACGCTCTCACAGAATACCAGCGTAAAATAGCAGTTTAACACTGCTGTGTTTCGTATGGTGAGTGTAGAGAACCGGAACCGGTTTTTTTTACTGGAAAAGAGGCATTTCAACTTAGTCCTCACGGGTAACAACGCATCTGCTTTTTGATTCGCAAACGAGTATAAATGTAGATGTCTATGGGTCACAGCAACCACTTACCATCAGGTGGACTGTGTGCTCGTTTGTCACCCTATTCCTATAAAAAAAAAAAAAACATTAGAGGCAAATTTATAGAATATTGTAAGCGTATCGCAAATAGCTATAGATAGAAATAAGTAGAAAAAAAAAGGAACTTGAATATACTCGTATATGTGAGAATATATAATACAAGTCCCAAAATAAATAGAAATTAATAAATAAAAACAGTTGTAATTAGTAAATAATATAATACGAGTAGAAATAAGAAAAGGAAATTGAAAATATATGTATATAGTTTATATAGATCAATTTCAAATTAACGTGTAATAAATCATAAGAAATAAACAAAATAATATGGTAGATATAAGTTAGCGATACGATAAGTTAATAAGTAAAAGAATTATATGGCGTAGAGATAAATAGAAAGTAAGAAAATAAGATAACATAGAACACTGTAATAAGAAAGTTAAAAGGAAAGCTCTGTAATGTGGTAGAAGATAAGGATGTACAGTAAGAAAATAGTAAAGAGAAATAGAGATAAGTGATAAAATACTGTAAATAAAACAAAATATATAAAAAGTCAAAAAGCACATTGACAAATAAATGAAAAGAGCGCAAGGTCCCTGATCTCCCATGTCAGGGGAAACGGAAAAAAAAACCTACCGAGTCCATTTCAGTCCGGGTTTCGTTCAGGTCACAGCACTACCACTGCTTTAATAAAAGTCACTGATGACATTAGAAAAGGTATGGATGAAAAAAAGATAGCAGTGCTAGTTCTAGTTGACTTTTGTAACGCTTTCAACACAGTTGATCATGATATCCTTCTTTCCATCCTATCCTATCTTAATTTTAAGCCCACTGTCTTAAATTGGTTTGCATCCTATCTTCGCGAGCGTCAGCAGTCAGTTCACGTAGGTCATATAACCTCAGCCTGGGCTGAAGTTGAATGTGGCGTACCGCAAGGCGGTGTACTCTCTCCTATCATCTTCATTACTCACAACAACTTGATTACTCATAATCTTGATTGCTCGTATCATCTGTACGCGGATGATCTGAAGCTATATGTGCATTGTGGCGATGAAGAATTACATAATGGAATTCAGAAATTAAACCAGAATTTAAATACAATTAAAGATTGGTCCTCGCGATATGGAGTCTGTGTGAATCCAGTAAAATGTCAAGCGATTTTAGTGGAAAGTAAAATGATGCTGGCTAGGCTTAATCAAGCACACTTACCTCATGTTTGCTACGACAATATTATTATTCCATTTAGTGAGTCTGTTAAAAACCTTGGCCTGTATATTGATAGCTCTCTGAACTGGCAAGTGCAGGTTACCGATTTAAGTCGGAAAGTCATTGCCATCTTACGTTCCCTTTATCATCTCAAATACTTCCTTCCTATTAAGTCTAAGCTCATGCTTGTCCAAACTCTTATTTTACCTATATTTGATTATGCAGATGTGTGCTACCCAGACCTGTCCCAAAAACTTCTTAACAAGCTGGAGCGCCTGCTTAACAACTGTATTAGATTTATTTTTGGTCTGCGTAAGTATGACCATATTTCTCATTATAGATCTCAGCTTAAGTGGCTTACCATAAGGCAAAGGCGCAACTCCAGAATTACTTGTTTTTTTCTCAATTCTTAATAATCCATATTCACCTTCTTACCTCAAAGAACGATTTCAATATCTCTCTTCTTGTCATAATAGGGTTCTTCGATCTTCCTCTAATAACAAGATTTATATTCCTACTCATCTCACCGGTTTCTATGGTAACTCCTTCACTGTACAGGCTGCACGTCTTTGGAATTCCTTGCCTGATGATATCAGAAAAGCACCTAACAAATACTCCTTTAAAAAGAAGGTAAGCGAACATTTACTAAATAATCATTAGAATTACAAAATTGTTAATTAATCGTATTTATATGTATGTATTTACTTTGTATTTATGTATATTTATATCCATATATATGTATTTATGTATGTTTATATTTGTTTATTGGCATATAAATATATTAATATTATGAATATGTGTTAATATATGTAAACGTGCGAATATATATAATATTATATCATAATCTGTTTTTTTATATATAATGTGTATTAATTTTAGTTTCATTTTTTTTTCTTTTATTGCTACACCTACGACAAACTCTCACCACTCCATAGGTTGACTGGTAGAGAATGCCTTTAGGCATTATCCGCCCTTTGTATCCTTTTTTTTCTAAAGGGACGCAATAAAGTTTTTTAAATAAATAAAAATAAATCTTTGGTGTAGGCGATGGGCTACCCACTCACCTATTACTTCCTTCACAATTTCCATCTAAACTCATATTTTTGACTAAACGTGCTCAGAATAGCTCGCTGCTCTTCGGACTCTGCCTACCTCCTTGCTATGATATGAAAGACCGGGTTCAATGCAGGAGTATACTCACTCGCCCATGCTGCATACCCTGCCGTTGCACTCGAGCTCCGCGATTTGCTGCAGGTCTTCGGGCGCCAGCTTGAAGTCGAACACCTTGAAGTTCTGCTCGATGCGGGAACGCGTCACAGACTTCGGGATCACGATCATGCCGCGATCGATCGCGTATCTGTAGACAGATATAAAAAATTAAAAATATAATATAGAAAAATAACATAATCTATTTCTACCGATTTAAAAAAGGAGCCGGTACTCGATTCGACTGTATGTTTTTTTATGTGTATTACCTCATAACTTTTTACTGGGTGAACCGATTTCGATGATTCTTTTTTTATTTGAAAGCTGGTGCTTCACATGTGGTCACAAGATCTGACCAATAGTTTTCGAGTTATTCTTAATAATTTATATTGAAATCGGTTGTACAAAATTTTTCATTTTAAATTATAGTTATCATCTAATATTACTATTCTAAACGAAATAAGTCATATTTACAGATATTTTTGAAACGAAAACTTCTAAAAAAAGACAAACATAATACATCTTATAGGATTTAGCCTGCGAGAGAATGAGATATAATACAGTATACAGTTTTACACGTGGTAGAACCACGCTGCAGTTACATTATGGTTGTAGCACGAACGGGTCGGCTCGACCGGGGTAGGACCACAGTCTTTGGGGTTATAAATATAAGCCAGTGCTTGGTTGCTATCCCACCTGACGGTAAGTGGTGATTCAGCCGTAGAAGGCAAAGTAACTTAGACTTAGAAAGAAGACTTAGCTCACAACACAGGTCAATTTACTCTTACCTTGAAGACGCCTCATATTGTAATCAGATGTAAAGACAGATGCTGGCAAATTATTCCACTCCTTAGTTATACGTGATAGAGCCATGCTGCAGCTATATTAGTAGTATAGTTGTAGCACGAATGGGTCGGCTCGACCGGGGAAGGACGGTGAGTGTAGAGAACCGGAGACCCTTTTTACTAGAAATGAGGCATTTCATTTTAGTCCTCAAGGGTGACAACGCAACTGCATTTTGATTCTTAATCGAGGATAAATGTAGATGTTTATGGGCCAGAGCATCCACTTACTATCAGGTGGACTGTGTGCTCATTTGCTATAAAATAAAATAAAAATACAGTATACAGTGTTCATTGCAAATTGTATATATTTTAATTACATAAATCCTACAACTATCCTACTGGTGATACTCTGCATTCATCTCATTCTCTCGAAGTTTCGTTTTCCGAAGGTTTCACTTGGACCTCGTGTGAACTGCCCTCTTTTTTATCCATAAATGTAAGGATTCTTTATAACAGCCTATCAAGGTCAACTGCTGAACATAGAGGGCTATCTTTACTATAGATGCCACGCTTGGCAAGTGAATTGGCAACCGCAGTTTGTTTCTTTTATAGTGGCTATTAGGAAGACGCTGCTGCTACACACGTCTTGATTTCCTTCTGTCGCCTCTTACGACACCCACAGAAAGATATAGGTTAGTGGATATTTTTACACCGCCACTGCACAGTTAATATTTTATAAATAACTACATGGTACCCGGCGCGTTCTGCCGCAGAAGTTATTGTGAAAATATCGTTTTAAATTTGGACTAGTTATATTGTTTAGTTAGGAATAATAATAATATTGAAATTGAATGATATATAACTTCCAAATAAATTTGTTGGTACGATACGCGCGCCTCCTACTGTAAGTTAATTGTACTAAGCCTATAACCTACCAAGCTCAAGTAATAAGTTGACAAAGTTTTAGCGCAATCTGATGAACGGTGTGGCAGCGCATGAAATACGAACAAACAAAAATGAATTTTTATATATTAGATCATAATAAATAATTAAATAAATAAACATTCACCTTCTTTAAGCTAGTATTGGTAAGTTAAGCGGGCTGCCCCCTCTAGAAGGAGTGACGACCTGGTAAGTTATGCAGGAAGTCAATGGATGATGCAGGTGGCTTAGAATTGGGCCTTGTAACATTATTTGAGAGAGGCAGTGGACTTGTGAAGGGCTGTAATAATGATGATGATAATGAATGCGCTTGATATTATGATAAATTGGAAGATGTTAAATCTTTAAAAAAATCACGCATTCTTGATTTTGATAATGATATTAAACCGTTTTACCAACTCACCTGATGAGGACCTGCGCTATGGTCTTCTTGTATTTATCGGCAATGCTCTTAAGCCTCTTGTCCTCCATCAATTGGGGGTCACCGGGCTTCGCCCAGAGTCTGTCGGGGGAGCCCAGCGGGGAGTATGCCGTCACCGCTACGCCCAGGGACTTGCAGTGGTCGAACAACTTCTGCTGGTTCAGGTACGGGTGGACTTCGATCTGGGAAGTTCCGTTCATTAGACATTTTTTTATAGAATAAGGGTGACAAACGAGCAAACAGACCACCTAATCTTAAGTGGATGCTGCGACTCATAGATATCTACATCTAATTCTCGGTTATAAGTCAAAAAATACACGTCTAACCCCTGAGGACTAAGGGAATGCCTCGTATCCAGTAAAAAGGATCTCCTTTTCTCTTTACTCACCATACGAAACACAGCTGTTAGTTCACGCTGGTAATCTGTGAGAGCGTGGTCCTTCCAGAATCGAGTTTACCCATTCGTACTACGACTACAATATAGCTGCAGTGTGGGCTCCACCAAGTACATAATTATATCTTTAATTCTTATTTACAGTCAGCAGCATCTATTTTTGTGCCTCTAATAGGAAGGAAATATGCCATAGTTGCCACGCTTGGCAGGCGCTGTGTTAAGGGGTCCCCAATAGGTGGAGTGCAGACCTATGCAGGTAGTCGATGGATGCAGGTGGTCTAGGACCGTATTTTGTAGTATCCTGTGGAAGTCTATGCTCAGCACCGGACTTGTGGTGGGCTGTTATAATTATTATGATGATGATGATGCAACAGCTGCTGGTAAGGCTAGATGACTTTAATGACGTCCCTGATTGAAGGCGGGCTTGATCCTCGCAGCCTCCATGACCCTATTCAGTTGCTTCTTGTTGAAATTGGAGACTCCGATGCTCTTCACCAGACCCTTGTCCACGAGAGCCTCCATCGACTTCCAGGTATCTACAAAGTCCACGGGTGATGGCGCCGCTTTGCCATCAGCCTCCGTTGGGAATAATTCATCACCCTCCTACAAGAATGAAGTTGGCACATTAACAGGTAGAATGATATGGGTGACAAGTGAGCACACAGTCCACCTGATGGTAAGTGGTTGCTGCGGACTATAGATTTCTATATCTATCCTCGTTTGCGAAAAACAATGCAGATGCGTAGTCATCCGTGAACACACCTTAATGGTGGAATGCCTCATTTTCAGTAAAAAGGGTCTCCGGTTCTCTACACTCACCATACGAAACATAGCAGAGTTGAGCTGCTATTTTACGCTGGTATTCTGTGAGAGCGTGGTTCTTCCCCGGTCGAGCCTACCCATTCGTGCTACAACTATAGATACTATTAATAACTAATAGCTGTTCCTCGCGACTTCGCCCGCGTGTTATTTGGGGTTTTAATTTTTTTGCGCGGAACCCTAATTCTTTATAAAATAAAAGTATCCTAAGTTACTCCTTGTGACATCAGCTATCTGCCAGTGAAAATCCTTTTAGAATCGGTCCAGCCGTTTCGGAGATTAACTGGAACAAACAGACAGACAGACAAAAACTTTAAAATTGTATTTTTGTTATTAGTACCGTAAATACTTTCATATGCATTTAGTAAAAAGCTGTAATTTTGACATTACAAATAGACACTGCAATTTTATTTATTTGTATAGATGTATAGATTGATTTCCTCATAGTTCAAAACATTTTTAAATAAAGTTTGTATAAAAAGGGTTATAATATTATATATTAAGGAATTTGTGCCGGACGGGCGTAACTCTCCGGAGTAAATGTTGTCGAAGATACTCCGCGAGTCGTTCACGTCCTACACCTATAGGTTCCGGAGGATACTTCCACTGCCGTCTCTGTGTATGCTGCTGGAGAACTGTGGACTGAGGTTCAAAATTAAAATGCACGATTTACAAATTAAAATAGCAAGGGAGTGGCCAGCGGTTCGACTGATTAATTAGTCGCGAAATTTCATAACTATTTATTTATTGACCACGGTTGTTGAACACTGTTGGTCAACTACGGTTGTTCACTATCGGTTGGTCACTATACAGGGTATTTTTGGAACGCTCCCGAAAACTAAGACAGGCGACAGCACCAAGTATACCTTTGATCATGGGTCACAAATAAATTGATCCTGATGAAAAAAAAAATCATATTTATACAACGTTTTATTAGCTTTATTCACGCGCCATCATGTTAGTACAGCTAAATGAAACGATAATTTCATAAAAAAATCATGAAAATACTGAAACATAAAACCAGCAATGGAAACTGAATTGATATCACCTGACTAATGGAGGTTAATGTACGCGCGAACGGTGAAAAAAGAACGCTGGCCTTGAACTTGGGCACTGAGCGATTTATCACATATTGGTATGAAGGGGGCGCGACGGGGGAACAATCCGCCAGTATTACTGTGCCTGCATGCTATTGGTTCCCGCGCTTTGTTCGCTCCAAAAATACAGTCGCATACACAGCTTACTTTGCGACTCGCGACGATGTTTTAAAAAGGAAGGAAAGAAAAATTATTTATATCTATTGTTTTATCAATAAACAAGTGAACGAAAAGGTAAATATGATAGGAGAAGGTGAATGGGGAAAATTGTGCAGTAAAGTTAAAAGTATTGAGGAAGAATACCGAAAAAATTACCATGTGATCGACCTGATGAAGCTCAAGCGAAGATGAAAGTGATGATGAAGTAGCATCCAGTAACACCAACACACCATCAACATCTGGCTTCCATGTGACCCAAAACGTCATAATGGACGGCGTGTCACCCTTAGCTTAAGTTTTCTTGTTACAAACTACTTTATATTTTACGATAGAAATAACAAATAATGCTCAAGTAAACATTATCCATTTTTAATTCCCACCTCTTCCAAAGTTCTAAGTAGCTAGTAAAACACCTATTATGATTCTACAATAAAACAATTAATTACTATAATATTATAATACAATAGCCCAATACCATGTAGTACTTTAGAACGCGACTGTACCCAAACTCCCTCCGCTGTCGACCTATATCTAGCTCGGTAAGAAACAATGCTGCGGTCATAAGAAAAAAGGGCGCATCTAACAATTTATGAATAAATGAGTTAAATATACCATTCGACTCATGATAAGAAGGCGCATCTACTAAATTTTTTTAATATTCACAAATATCAATATTTAAGAAATTATCGTAAGAATTTTAGACGTAACTGTTGATCACAGATGACATTTTTTTAGTAGAAAAGACATACAAATTCAACATAAAAGAAAATACTTATTTAACCAGTTGCTACGTCATCTTTAACTATATATATATATATAATATTTGCATCGATTACTTAAATTTCAATTATTCTTGTCTTATTATTCTATATCTTATTATTAAGAGCTGATGTTTCACATGTGGTCCCATATAAATTTGATCGAGGTCAGACCAATAGTTTTTGAGTTATCCTTAATTATTTATATTAAAGTCGGTTGTACAAAATTTTTAATTTTTAATTATTATCGTAGTAAGTCTTGTATGATATCCCCTTTAAAATCATTACTCAAGAGTTGCGGGTTGTTTTTTTTTGTGTCTCACTACCAATGCTTTTCTAATATTTACTAAGAAAAAAGTAGTAAATTACTATTAGCGTCCTTTCAACTTCAAATGACCTTTCCAAAATATGTAAAAATGTTAAATGAATGGCAGTTTTTTTTATTTATTAGGTTGGGAAGACGCAAATAGTTATATGCGTCTTTCCTTCGATGTTTTTGTGTTGCCAGGTGTATTTTTTAATCTAAGATGAAAAGGAAAATTCGTTTTATTTAAATAAATAAACAAATTATCAAAAAAATAAGTTCGTCTTTAAAATCTTCATGTCTCTACGTATATATTTCAATTTTCATATAGATACCTTTTAATATACTTTAGACACGGGCTCTGAAAGAAAAATTCATCAATTTTTTTTTATTTCTATTTTACGTTTTTATTAGTTCCGTCCTTCTTTATTATGACGGCAGAATGTAACCCGGCCGGCTCGTGTCGCCTCACGCTGTGACGCAGTAGGTTTCAGTTTTGTCGGGGTTCGTTATTAATTGTAGTTTTTGAAACAGTTCCGTGTTGATTTTGTACACGCGTGCAATCGTTTTGTTTATTAAATTGTTATTACTTGTGATTACGTGTTGGTATTATTCTTGTTGTTACGTTTTTGTTTTAATAATGCTTAACGCGTACGTTTATAGTGATTGTGAATACGGCAACATGTTAGGTATCCGAACCTAGGTACACGAAGTATCGCTAAATAAATTGTTAAGACGTCGGGATGGAACAAGTGTGTCATACTATGCAGTGCACAAAGTGTTGAAGCGTAACCGAATGCGCCCATACAAATTGCACAAAGTGCAAGCTTTAGTTCCCGGCGATCACGACCACCGACGAGTTTTCTGCCGTTGGTTATTATACCAGCAACAACGTGTGCCTGGTTCCATTGAGCACATTATCTGGACGGATGAGTCGACATTTACCAGAAACGGCCTGTGGAACCGAAGAAATACACACGTGTATTCAGAGGTTAACCCGCACGCTGTTCGACATACCGGGCACCAAAACCGATGGTCGGTTAACGTATGGGCAGGTTTATTTAAGGATCGCATACTGGGACCAGTGTTTCTGCCAGAGCGACTGAATGGACAGCGATACCTAAACTTTATTAATAAACAGTTGGTTGACATTTTAAACGACCTATCGTTGGCTGAATATCGCAGCACATGGTTCCAGCATGATGGTGCCCCTCCACATTTCGTGAGGTTCGTCCGTGAGCGCCTCAATGAGCTATTTGATGATCGCTGGATCGGCAGACTAGGACCACACGCTTGGCCACCTCGCTCACCAGATCTGACCCCGTTAGACTTCTTTTTGTGGGGTATGTGAAAGAAAGGGTTTTTAATCGTGAGTGTGATAGTGCTGACGAAACTACAAAAGGATCGTGGCTGTTTTCGACAAACTACGTACGGACTGTGTCGAAGACCACACGATGATGCCCCGCCTGCATGAGGAGACGCAACACCGAGCCCAAATCTACCTTGAAATGAATGGAGCACAATTTGAGCCGCATCTCATAAGACCATGGAGGATTTAGAGCGGTAAGCTGTTTCATAACTATTTTTTTTTAAATAACTTAGTACTAGACTAATCTGAATAGGTACATAACTGAATACATGAGAATAATAAACATACCTACACGATGAA